CCCGAGGGCCCGCCCCCCGAGGGCCCACCTCTCTGAAGAGGGCCCGTCCCCGAGGGCCCACCTCTCTGAAGAGGCCCCGCCCCCCGAGGGCCCACCTCTCTGAAGAGGGCCCGCCCCCGAAGGCCCGCCTCTCTGAAGAGGGCCCGCCCCCCGAGGGCCCACCTCTCTGAAGAGGGCCCCGTAGAACGTGACGGTGTAGAAGCAGTCGACCGTGCGCATGTTCACGTCCAAGTCCATGAGCAGGCGCTTCTGCTCCTGCGAGTTCACGGTGGCACGGATGCGCTGCGGGGCGAGGGCTGCGGTCAGCGGCTGGGAGGCAGGCGCGCGGCCCCCGGTGCCCCCGGCCCTGACAGCCCCGGGCCGGGGGCCCTGCTCACCTTCACGGCCATGATGGTGCCGCTCTGGGCGTGCCGCACCTTCTCCACTACCCCGTAGGCGCCTCGGCCCAGCTCTGAGATGGACACCAGGTCGTCCGCCTCCACCTCAAAGTTCTTGGGGGACACAAAAGAGAGAGGGCTCACGGGGGCCAAGTCAGGCGCCAGTGGAGACGCTGGGGAAGCAGAAAGAGAGGACCACCAGCCAGCCGGACCTGTGCTCAAATCTTGCCCCAACCACTTCCGCTGTGTGCCGTGGGGCAACTCACTTAACCTCTCTGAGCCTCCCCTCACCTTCTACAGAACAGGCACAGCACCTACTTCCAAGGGCTGCTGCGAGGTGTCAGCAGGCCGGCCTGGGAAGTGCTCCCGGCGGCCTGGGGCCCTTGAGAGACGCTCCTTCCCTCTCGCCCCGCCCCACTCAGGTGGCCAGACTGAATCACTCGTTCGGCACCTACTGCACGCAAGTCCGTGTTTCGGGCACCGGGGACACGGAGAGGACGACAGAAGGGCCTCGCCTCACAGGGAGCAGCCATAAAAGGGCGCGAGCAGTGGCACGAATGGGACACCCTCGGCGTGTCCCGTGGTCGACACACGGTCCCCAAGCCGGGCTTCCCAAGCCATCAGGAAGTGCGAGTGAAACGCAGGTGCCCGGGCACCGGTCCCGAGCGCAGGGCCAGGGAACTGCGCGCTCAGCACCACTCCTCTGACGTCGGGGGGCTCCACGCCGGCTCCGGCTCACCAGGGCCCCAGGAGGCAGCCACCACCTCTGCCCCAGACGGGCCACTGGTCAGCAGCGGGGAGCCAGCGCTCCGCCCCAGCCCAGCTCTGTCCACCACCCACAGCCACCTCCCAGGGCCCAACGACACCTACCCTGTCCCCGATGGTGATGAAGGCCCGGGAGTCCAGGTTCCGGGGGGGCCTGCAGGGAGGAGCGGGGCCGTGAGCCCGGGGAGCCGCGCCCTCCTGAGCGGGCAGCCCGGCCTGGCACACATCCTGCCCGGGAGCCCCCACCCCCCAGCCACCGAGTGTCTGCGGGGCAGCACGCGGTACAGCACGCGGACGCGGCCAGGGCCTCGCCTTCCGTCCTCGACGGGAGAGCAGGACCCTGAGCGGACGTGCGAGGCCCATGGCCCCCACAGCTGCCCAGAGGAGGCGCTGCCCAGGCAGGGGCCTGGCTCTCACGGTGGCCCCTTCCGGAGGCCGTCTGGGCGGCGCCGGCGGAAACCCGAGGCCAACTCACGTGGGGCTGGGCGCCGGCGGCTTGGACACACAGGAGATTCGTAAACCCTTCTTCCTCCTGGACTTCCCTAAATGGGAGGGAGAGAAGGGAGCGTCCGCTCAGCCACTGCTCAGCCAGCGTCTCCAGGGACAGGCAGGACCCCCAGGCGCCCGGCAGAGACACAGACGCCGAGGGTCAGCGTGGTCGGCGCCGTGACGGGGCCCCGGGGCCTCCGGGAGCCCAGAGGACGTGCCCAGCCTGGGCTGGAGCGCCTGAGCACTGCCAGTCCTCCCGGAACAGTCACCCCACAGCCACCTGAGAAGAGACGGCACCTCCGAGGAACATGCACCGTCACAGACCGGCCCCCACGGCCCCCATCAGGCCCCCGCGCTCCCACCCACGCAGAGTCCTATGTCCCAAGTTTCCCGAAGGCCTGAATTGTATCCTAACCCCTGAAAGCTGAAGTCCTCACCCCGAGTACCTCCGAGCACGGCCCTATTTGGAGATTTACAGAGATGATCAGGTCAAAACGAGGTCATTAAGGTGAGGCCCTAATCCAACATAACAGGTGCCCTTTTAAAAAGGGGAAATTTGGACACAGAGACAGACACGCGTCAGAGAAGACGGCCGGCCGTCTGCAGTCCCGGGGGAGAGACTGGGGAGGCTCCTCCCGTCACGGCCGCAGCAGGACCAGCCCTGCGACACCTGGGTGGGCTCTGGCCTCCAGACGGGGGACAGGAGGTTGCGGTGTTGAAGCCGCACAGCGTGTGGGGCTTTGTCCAGCAGCCTGGGAAGGTAGCAGGGCCTCTACCCACCCCACCCCCATGCAGTTCTAACCTCGGTGGGGGGAAACCCGCCGAGCCGGAGCCCCGGCTCTGCCGCCCACCCCGCCTCTGAGCCTCGACGTCCCCACCCGTCGTGCTGGAGCACAGACGCAGGCTGGGGGCCCTGCCGGCAGGCATCACATGCAACCTGGCCCGGGGTGTCCACAGCCAGGCCCGTGGGCCGGGACCCTGTGTGCAGGCGCCCCGCCCCTCTCAGCCTCAGCTTCCCCAGAAGGGGCCCCAGGTGGACAAAGTATGAGGACAAATACCACCTGCCAGGGCATCGGCTCAGCTTGGAAAACGGGGTCAGGGCCAAGAGCAGGAAGGTGAGTCGGGAAAGGACCGCATGTGCACCCGGGTCTGCTGGTTCCACAGCCAGTGGTGTCCAGGGCAGGGCAGGACGTCCCCTGTGGAGTGAGGGCACTGGACCAGCCGAGCTCCCACTACCGCCAAGCCTGCCTGTGCTCGGGGCCAGCTGCCCAGCCCCCCACACAGCCCTCCCCGTGGACAGGCGGGTGAGGCTGGGGTGCCTGTACCCACAGCTACCCCTGATGCTGTCGGCATCCCTGCCCAGGCTCACGCCAGGCTGGGAGCGGTGGAGGTTCCTGGGGGCCCACCTTCCTGGGGAAGCGGGAAGTAAGCCCAGCAGGCCTGCAGGGGCCAAAGCAGGGCAGATCCAGGCCTGGAGGACGGACCCATGGCCTCATCTCACCCCTGCCCACTGCCCCGGGCACACTGCAGTGCCCCTGGGCCTCAGTATCCCCATCTGTGAGGAGCCCCACCCCCAGCTCTAGCCAACAGGGTGGGAGGTGAGAGGGGCCCGGCGGGGTCCACGTCCCGGGAAGACCACCCAAGGCGCAGGCAGGGCCAGCTCTGGCTGGGCCCACTCACCCTGGAGGCCAGAGCCTGTGCACATTCTCACCACACGGCCCCAGGAAGCCCACTCCCATCCCCCAGGGTGCGGGGTGGGCCTGAGTCCCGAGGCAACGCCTCCCTCACCCCTCACCGCCGGGGACTGACAAGAAGTGTCGCCTCTCCAGGACTCTCTGGCCAGCTAAGAGTGCGACCCGGTGCCCGGCACATGGTCGGTGCTCAAGAAGAATCGGCATCTAGAGTGCTGGGCAGAACTGGGACTCGACCAGGACTTCCCGAGACCACCCAGAGCAGAAACGGTGCCCACGTGCCTCTCCTGCAGGCACATCCTTCCGCCTCCCACCCAAGGCCCCGTACCTCGTGCCTCAGGTGCGCACAGGGCACCAGGAGACCCTGTGCACACCCTCCTGAAGTTACCTCTGAACCGGGTTTGGATCAAGCCTCCAGCACACCCTGCTGTGCAGCCTCAGCGCCTCATCTGTGAATCCAGACAGGCCCACGCGCTCGGGCCCAACAGCGGGGGTGGGCGGGGTGGGGGCCGGCACCACTGTCCATGATAGGAGGGCTTATCAGTGCCCCTGGGAGGACGAGGCCCGGGCCCAGCTGTCCTGAGAGCTGGGTGAACCACCAGGAAAAGTCCGGTGGGGCTGGGGTCCCAGCATCTACCCCAAGGTGGGTGACGTAGGCAGACACTTGCAGCCTCTCCATAGAAGCACCCCCAGGCTTGAGGTGCATCCGTCTGTGCCCTGGCAGCCAGCAGGAGAGCCTCAGTCCTGGCCAAAGGCCCTGACCCAGGCGGCCCTGGGCCTGCGGCCGAGTCAGTGCTCCGATGGCACAGTCCACAGCCCCAGATCTGGGGTCCCTGCTCACTCCACACCAGGCTTGGGTCTCACGCAACCCTGTTGCCAAAAGCATGGGCTCTCTCTGCCACAGGTTCAAATCCCACCTTTGCCCCTTACAGGCTGGGCGATCTTGGGCAAGTGCCCACACCTCTCTGAGCCTCAGTATCTTCATCCATACGATGGGGACAAAACCAGCACCTCCTCGGAATTCCCTGCTGGCGCAGTGGTTAAGACTCCAGGCTCCCAGTGCAGGGGGCCCAGGTTCAATCCCTGGTCAGGGAACTAGACCCCACATTCACGCCACAACTGAGAGTTTGCATGCCACAACTAAGCAGCCTGCATGCCACAACTAAGGAGCCCGCCTGCCACAACTAAGACCCAGCACAACCAAATTAAAACAAAAAAAACCCAGCACCTCCCTGTAGAGTTATCAGATAAAGCACCTAGAAGAGCGCTCAGCCTGCATCGAGCTACTCCACCACCTCTGAACCCCCAGGGGCCTGTCCAGGACCTGACCGGCGCCACTGCCTGCCCCCAGCACAGGGGTGTGCCAGCTGCCCAATCATGACCTTGTGTGTGGAGAGATTTCAGCCCGTTTTACAGACGAGGCAAGGTGGCTGGTTGTCAGGGGCCAGGGTGGGGGGGGTCTCCCTCCAAAGTCCTTTTGCCCATGAGAGCGGCAACCTGCCACTCACACCCGGGCCCTTCCCGCCTCCTCCAGACGCCCCGACGACCCTGGAGGAGGAGCTCTTAGCCTCATTTTACTTGGGGAAACCGAGGCTGGGAGGTGGAGTCACTGCACGTTAGTCAAGGGTCTGGCCAGGAGTCACACCTGGAGACCCCAACAGGCCAGGCCAGCGGTTCACAGCGCCCCTCCTGCAGGGAGGAGGGGACCGGCCTGCCACGCCCCCCCAAGGGAAGCCAGCACATTCCACACGCCAAGAGGAAAACAGAAAAGCCAGGGCTTCAGTTCCTGAGGCCACTTTTGTGCTGTCCCCGGATCAGACTAAGTCACCACCAGGCCCCAAGGTGGCGCAGGGGTCCACGGCGTGTGGAGGCCACAGGCCAGGCCAAAGGAAGCCCAGCTCTGCAGCCCGGCTGGAGCCCAGCACAGCGCCCTCCTGCCCGCACCTCCACTTCTCACCCGCTCGGAGGTGCACCTGCCGCCCTAAAAGGCAAGGCCGAGAGTCTGGCACACAGTAGGCGGCCCTCTAATGGCCCACAGGTGGACACCACAGTTATCATCAGCGCCTCTGCAGAGGTGACAAAATGCGTCCTAAGTAATGAGAAATATGGGTGGCTTTTATTCTTGACTTGATGCTATTTTGTAACCAGAAAATAAAACATTTTAAGTTAAAAGGTAACAATCCACATGGGGGTCTCCGGGCCTCACACCTGCACCTTCTCTGCTCTCAGCCCCCTTTCCACCTTTCTTGGGCTCAGCCTGCACACCCACGGCCCGCCCTGGGCTTTGGGAACGTCCCCCTACAAGCTTCAGTCTCCCTGCCTGTGGCTGCAGTGTTGGTGGGGGGGGAGGGGAAGAGGGTGAGGACCCCCTGCCTGTCAGGGTCCCCAGGCCTACGTCCAGAGTGACACAACTGGGTCTGCGGGGCGGCCAGAAACAGGCTGCTGGCCCCTCCCACCGTCTGCCGGAGCCCTCAGCGCCGGGCCGGGGCTGCCCAGGTGCAGGCCACTGTGGTGATTGTCACCACGACAAACAGACTTTGTGGGCTGCCACCGGCAAAGCACGACGAGCCTGCCAGCCTCGGCTTGCAGGGCTCCCGGTGCAGGAGGGCACAGTACTGGGTGTATGTGTCTTCGTCCGCTCCGGCCTTCCAGGGGAGCCACAGGAGGCAACAAGGACTCCAGCATGACCTGAGTGAGCCACCGTTGTTCCCAGCTCAGGGCCTTTCCCGGTTCTGTTCCCTCTGCCTAGAATGCTCTTCCCTGCAACTCTGTCCCAGCTGATGTGTGAGCCTCACCTTCTGCCTATTCAGAGAGGCCCTCCTGGTCGCGCAGCTAAGCGCCCTTGTTAACCGGCTCTCCCGTGTCCAGCCGGCTCCACACAAGTCACGGCCCTGCAGTTACATCTCAGAGGCAGCACTGACTCTGGAGCCAGGCAGCCTGGGCTCAAATGGCAAAGCTGCCACTTCCTAGCTGGGTGCCCTCAGGCAAACGACTTCACCTCTCTGGGCCTCAACTGTGACGTGGGGACAACGGACCGACCTCGCATGGGTATCAGCGCATCCCGCACAGTCCAGTCCCCTGCCTTAGTGGTCCTGGCATGAGGAATATTAGACTAAGCCACCTGGAAACGCGTGGGACCCAAGCTAACACCGGGCCCGCAGCCCAGAGGGTCACTCTGTCAACACCCTCAGCAGCCCCGGAAGCGTCTTCACGGGTCTGCTGCACCAAGAGGGTTGGAGACGAGGCGCCAGGCGAGGTCACAGTGAGCGTCTGGTGGGGAGCAGACCCTGAGCGGGGCCTGGGGAGATTCCAACAACCTGGCTGTGCCCGGCTCTCAGGCTCCGTCCGGGGCGGGGGGCAGG